CCTCTGGAAGGCAAGAGGAGATCTTCATGCTGTCCTCGTTTGGCGGCTCACCTTAGAATTCAGCTGTGTTTTACACCATGATGATATTTTTCTTCCCATTTCTCAGCCTTCCACAGACTCAGCCTTTCAACAGTCTTTTATTTTGTCTCTCAAGGCATTAAGCATCTTGCTTCTCTCTCTTTACTCCAGCATTTCTACAACTGTATTTCACAAAATGTCCTTTTAACACTAACAGGTAACTAAATCTGTATGTATGTGCACACACACACATATATATATGTAGCACAAATGCATGACCTTTTCCAATCCAGCCTCCAGCCAGCCCTAAGATGATCTTCACGCTGACCTCAGAGGCCGTTGTTTCGCCAAGCACATGTTTTGCTTAAATGCTGAGATCAGCCATCCAACTGTCCAAACTACTTTTGGCATCACCAGGAGAGTAGCTAGCCTACCGTGACTACCCTCTGACCCAGCCCTTCATACTCCTTCTCGTCTGAATGTTTTACTTCAAACTTTTTCTTCCTTTTTAATGAAGAGAGGAAAAAGGAAGATGCAGGAAGAGCTCACATACGTGCGAACTGACCTTTCGTGTCTACAGCTCTCATCACCATTGCGTGCACTCTCCCCGCTTTCTTGGTCTATTGTCAACTTGATTTGAGCTGTCTCAATTATATGCAGTTGAATGCACAGCACTCAGCATGCTTGGCCCCAATACTGCAGCATCTGGACTGCAATTTGTACAATAACACAAATATAAAATGATACATCTTTTCTATCAAACTTCCCCCCCCGGACCTCTAAATATTCTTCCAACGATACAGTCCTCTTATTTTCCACTTTCTTTGTTCCTCAAAATTTCAGCTCTATTTTTTCCATATGGTGTGAGTGGAACTATGTCCAAATATTCCAGGTGACAAAATACCACTAATTTCATACAAGTGCTTAAATTTTTATAATTTTCTCGAGATTAAGCTTAACCACTTGCAGTTTCAAAAGCACCCACTGCTCTAGAAAGATATTTACACTAGACTATAAATCAAATAGCTAATAAAGTTCCTGAGATTTTTCCAAAAAAGGTTCAAAAATGAAAACTCCCATCCTCCTCTTCCAACTGTTTTTAATCAAGGGCAGTATGAAACAAGTTATCCAAGTTCAGAATGGAAAAAAAAAAAAAAAGTACAATTACTCTGAGATGAAATTTCAAGATTAAAACCCTTTTGATTCCTTGAGCTGTTTGACAAACATCTATGTGGAACAAGAACTGCAGCGAGATATTATAAAATATTTATGTCAGTTTGCAACATGCGTGACCACATGTTGGTCAAGACAGCTGAAGTGTTCATTATTACTAGGAAGCTGTAAATCGCTCCTTTGGCAAACCTTCAAATGAGTTTAGAAAAAAACTGGTTCTGTTCTTGATTCCATTAGATGCTATAACTTAAAATGCGAATAATATTGTTCTTGGCATGGCTGCTGCATGTCCACCTCAGCACAATTACTCCAGCCTCTCCTGGCTTAGACGAATGTCGTTCAAGGCCAAACAGCAGCTTCCTTCCTCCAACAGAACATCTATTCTTCTGTAACCGAAACAATTTGGCTAAATGACACAAAGATAAAGCGTGACTGCAGTAAGAATAATAAACACAGTACAGATTCCTTGAATACACAAGAATTATCCCCCAAAAATTTGCTGTATGGATGATCAGGACAAGGCAATTGCTAAAGTAATGACCTCTGTTAGGAGACATCAGCTGATGCATCAAACCTTCAAACCTGCCATTCAAAGTTGGGTTTCAACTTAGTGATACCTGCCTTGCTGAAAGAGCACACTGCACTGTGGGGAGCACTGCAGGCAGAGCCAGCCAGACTCTGCAAAGACTGGGAAGGTTGAAGTGATTTTCACTTATGACCTGCTGTGAAAGATCTGCATGCAGAACAGGATGGCCATTGATTTTGTTTTCTGCAAAACCAGCTGATGATACTCAACACATCTTTGGGAATAGACCACTCAAATTTAGGTTTCAGTCCAGGGTTTTTATTCTCCTCTGCCTGGCATCGCAGTCATGCAGTGACATCAGAGTAAAGCAAATGTAAAATGATTTTGAACTTGCTCAGTGTTTGAAGTAACTGAAGCCCTGGATATTCAGAGCTGAAAAGCTGGAAGGAGACCTTATTGCTACCTTTCAAAATATAAAGGGCACTTATAAGAAAGATGGGAACAGACTTTTTAATAGGGCCTGCCATGGTAGGACAAGGGGTAACAGTTTTAAACTGAAAGAGGGTATGTTTAGATTGGACATAAGGAAGACATTTTTTAAGATGTGGGAGGTGAGGCACTGGAACAGGTTTCCCAGAGAAGCTGTGGATACATCATCACTAGAAGGGTTCAAGGCCAGGTTGGACAGGGCTTTGAGCAACTTGGTCTAGTGGAAGGTGTCCCTGCCCATGGCAGGGGGTTGGAACTAGATGATCTTTAAGGTCCCTTCCAATGCAAACCATTCCATGAGTCTGTATTCTGGAGAAAACAAAGTTGTACTTCAGTGTCAATTTGATTTTGTCAGTTCTCAATGGCTATATGATATTTTGTTAGACACAACTGTCTTCCTCCCGGGGCTGAAACTCAGATATGAGAAGCTATCACAATACTAATAAAATCCGAGTGAGGGAGCACTCACTCCTGAAGTTGTTGGGTTACCATTATATTTGGTATTGAGGAAAACCTGAAAAGTCACACTCTGCTTTATTATCCTTTACAATAAAAGCATGGTTGTCAGAGTACATGTCCGTATGGCACGTCTGTTGTGTGTTTAAAAAAAGCTTTGTCTTCTCTTCTATCAGTACGCAGAAGTGCTGACTTTGTCAGGTCAGTCGTTAACCAACATCATTTACTTTCTGGCTGTGTCTCTGCCTCACCACCACACGACAGCATCCTTTCCCAACCCAGGAAAAGAGGTCTGCAGTTCTGACTGACCGATCCATTATTGATGTTGATGAATTAAAGGATGCTCTCAGAGGGAAGTTGTGAAGCTGAATGGCACCCCAGGGAGTTATTTAACAGTTATTTAAGGATGTGCATACAACTGCATCAAGAGCCTCTTCAATAAAAACCATGGTCTGGTCAAAGGTCCAGCATCCCTAAAGACTGGATCCCAGTCATGATACCTGTGTAAGCAAACTGACAGGGTTGTTTTGTTGCTTGAAAGAACTTAACAGCAATTTAAGAACAACAACATAATGTTTTGCTTGTGCCTTTGTACTTTTGTAATTGTTTCAGTAGTATGTGCATGATACTATATCCTCGTGTCTGAAAACTTGCCTAAGAGCAATAGAGTAGCTGGCAAAGCCCGGGCAATCTCTACCTGGGGAAGGGGCACCCTCTACATGAAGGTGCTAGTCCAGTCCCTCTGGACCCAGAACTCAGTACAAGATGTCAGTGAGAGGCAGCAGGCTTTTCCTTCACTGAGCTGCACAGATTGGTTTGCAAGCTAATAACATTGGGGGCTGTTTAAGGAAAATGATTGCTGCTGGGAAGCCCTAATCTGGGCAGCAAGAGGAGTACCTGAGTGTAAGGTCTCTTGCAGTTGTTAATGCCACCCTGTCTTACACTCAGTAATTCAAGAGGATCATATCCTGCAGCTCTGAAAGGCTGTAATGACAACAGAATTATCACAATAATTGCGTGCCAAGTGAGTCCAGCAAGCTGGTTAAGAAACTAGCTTGACACACTCCCTAGACCTTTCTGTGAAAAACAATGTGACCAAAAAAAAGTAGAATGCGATGGGCAAGGGAAAAATTAGAAGTTAATGGGTTTTGAACTCTGCAGCTCTCTAAATACCATGCAATGGTCAGGAGGAAACCTGTGGGATACTGCAGCCCTCACAGAAGGGTCACTGCCCCCAGAGCTGACTCCGTTCCTTTAGGGCTCAAGGGGAGCTTCTGAGTCACTTGGGCACTGGCATTTCCAAGCTCAATTATATTTCCATTCCTAAAGCAGTTTCTACTACTTTATTACAACACAGATGTATCTTGTTTATTCAGTAGTGTATCTCTCTCTTCCGATTTTCTTTCACAGAAAATGCAAAGAAGTTAAGTGGCAGAGCTGATAATGCCAGATTATCTTGTGGAAGTTTCTATTTCCAGGATGTATCACTCAGAGCTTCCAAGAATGTCAGTGAACATTGTGTTTGGGCTGCAGTAGTCACACACTGTCATGGTATTTCCACTGATGACTTCCTGAAGCAAGGTTTTTGGTTTTTTTCTAGCTGGTATTACATGTGTGCATGTCAGAAACTAAGGAAACAAATACTGTAAGTGCCAAATCTGCAGGATGAACATTAATGCTACTTCACCATACAATAAAGAAAACTTGCCACTAAAATTTGGTTATTTTCACAGTTATTAGTAACTCATGTTACTTTCATGAAAATGTTCTGTGTACGAATAATATCGGTGATAAATACAGAGGATCCTCCAGTCAGTTCCCACGCATTTGTTGCTCCAGGCAACTTGGTGCACACCAATTTGGAGATCACAAAATAACTCCAGTTGGCAGAGTGGCTACCTGCTCCCTTTGGGACAGCAGCTGTTGAGAGTCCATCAGCCTTACGTTCAAGCATTTACACTGGCTTCCAGGCAGCAATGTTAAACCTTGAGTCTTGCTTTTTTAAAGAAATCAATGGACTGAGCCCTTGGTTACACAGATTGAATTCTGATACAGATCTTGATCTCTGAACCACCAGTGTCGGGTTTTCTGAGACAGAGCAGATACCACGTCCCAGGGAAAGTTGTGTGCAAGCTGTGTACACGCTGTCAAGGATATCTAGTTCTGTAAGAAGCTTTCAGAGAAAGTCAAGGAGATCCAGGCTGTGACCTTCTGGAAATGACAAAAAGCCTTTCCTTTCAGCAACTATCCCCCTCAAAATTCAAAACAACCTTCTATTCCTAAAGCCTTGTCAACTCAACCCTTCAAAAACACAAAGCACAATGTAGAAGAGCCTAACCACAAGTAGAGTCTGGAGTCCCCAAAGGAAGGAGGGCAGCATCACCACGGCAGAGTCCCAGGGTGACAGCCAGTGATACGAAGTCTGAAGATGAGCAACTAGGAGGACCTAAATACAGAAGCACTGAGTTAATCCTTCTGCTATAATAAATTTCAAAAATCAAAACTTTAAAGCTGATTTCAGAAGTCTGAAAGCCATCTCTTCTGCCCAAGGCTTGCAGTTTTTCTCTGAGCTTAACACAGGCCTTTGTTTAGTGGCAGGCTAGGGTGGAAATTATGAATCTGGCATTTAGGCCACGTAAAATCATACCCCGTATGTACTGAAAGGGAAAACAAAGTGGACTAAGCTTTCTTTGTTCCTTAGCTGGAGGGTTTGGCTTAGCACTCAGCCTAGCCCTTCTTTCCAGCTTAAAACAAATTGGATTCCAGTGGTAAAACCCTGGCTCCAGCGAATTACATAGCAAAACTCATGTTGAATCCAGAGATCAGATATGATAAGGTTTTGGGATTTGTTTGCTACACATAACCATAAATGTAAATAATGACAATTACTCCATTATTATTTTAAAATAAAGCCTCTTTTAAGTGAAAGTTGAAGTGATGGCAAGACATATCAAGGTTTAATCATATTAAACCTGCAAGGTCCTGCAAAGAGCAGGGAGTTGGACTTGATGATCTTTATGGGTCCCTTCCAACTTGAGGTATTCTATGATTCTATGATATTTTAGACTTAATGTTTTTAAAGTAAATATAACTTCTGTAACAAAATAAATGTTACAGTATTAAGCTACATTTCCTGGAAGGAAAACTTATACTTTTTAATTTACATAGAATCAACCGAGTCAAACACCAGTATCAGGTACCATACGTAACAAATGCCAGTGAACTATACTCTTCCAAACATAAATCCTTTCATTTCTGCTATTCTGAAATGTTTCACCAAATGTCTCTGGATTTGAGTTTAGCTAGCAGGTACAGTATTTATTCTCCTTTTGGGCTAACCATGAAGTTGGGAATCCAACTCAAATTTCTTAAAGGAGAACTTGTTTTCCTTCCCCATTCTTTTACTAAAACAGAATCAAGAATCAAATCTATTTAGTCAAAATGAAAATAAAATTTTCATTTACTTAATGAAAATAGAGCCATATTTTCCAGGTGTATTTAGGTATATGTAGATGAAGAAAGACATCTATTGGGATTATCAAAGAAATATTAACAGGATAAGTCTCTAATATGAATTGTGTTCAGATCACAGAGATTTAATATAACATTGCCTAAATACCTCCACAACTCTGATTGGAAAGGTAACAAGAAACTACAGATTCTCTAGTGGCTGTTAATATTTTATTTTATACATTTGCTTTTCTCAGTAAAATAGAATTATCCTAAGAGGGGCTGGGTACATAAAAAAAAAAAGTGCCATTAAAAACTGTTTTCAAAAAGAGCTCTAATTTCTAGCCAAATAGCCTTAAAAATAAAATCAGAGCAAAAGCATCTGGGAAAGAAAAAAAGAGCATGTACGAATGGATCAAGACAAGCTACCTGACTTCTTAAGTAAAAATCAAGTTTTGGGTCTGCCTTCTGATAACAAGAACTTGCTAACAGACAAACACATGCATAAGCATTGACAGCCAAGGAGAAAGAACATTTGGGAAAACAAAGAAAAAATACAAAATCAGATTTCCTGCTTGCTATAGGTGAGCCTATCTGCCCTCAGTGAGCCAGCACCTCCCTCCAGATCATTTATTGCAGCTGGATGCTGTTTCTGCATGGAGGTGTTGTAACTGGTGAATCGCTTCCACTTCAGGGTTTCACTTCAGAGGGCTACATGAGTTTTTTAGATGTACAGTCTGTTGGACAACCAAGTATCTCACCTTCTAATTTTGAAATCTCCTCTGAAATTTCCAAGGCTCTAAGCATCCCAGCATATTAAGAGGATGTGCATGTGCTTGACATTTATCGTTTTGTTAATGAGAGAGTCCAGAATTACTAATTAGGAGGTTGGTGTCCCTAGCAAATTGCTTAAGATAAAATGGCATTTTGGGAAAGCCTCTACCAACTGATTTCCTCTATTTAACCATGAACAAAAAAAAAAGAAACAAGAAAAAAGAAACAAAAAAATTAAAAGTAAATACATAACACATTTTCACACTGAGCCATATAAATTTATTTTTTTCTGTTGATTTTTTTTTGTTTGTTTAGAGGAAGTAGTGCTGCACAAGTATTAAACTGTACCACAGAGACAGACACATTCTGCTAGCGTGGTTTTGTCAGCAACCGTTTGATTACTTGGCACTTTCTTTAGAGCCTGGAGCAGAGCCAGGTGGTGCCTATTGATGGCACTGAAAGAGAGAAATGCGGTGGAGGTCAGTCACCAGAAGAGACCTTTCTGCTTCCGCTTTGCCAAGTTGCTTGACAAGGTGGCTGATGGAAACAACTTCTTTTCATCGGTTACAATGCGAGTCTTTCAGGCTCCTTCTCATCTCAGCCTCATTGTCGGCACCGCACACAGGCCAGTGCTGAGTTCTGCGATGAAGAATGTCATTTCACCATAGAAATGACATGGCGAGCATTTACTGACCTCCCAACTGCGTTTCCTTGTCCTGAAATAAATTTGAGTTCAGTTATTACGGCGCCTCTGATTTAATAATTGGCTTTTGGGAGACACTCAAGTGCTTCAAATGGAATCTTCTCTTAGGGTCAAATCCTGTCCCTTTTGTAGTCTATGGGAATTTTGCCATCAGACTTTAATGAGACAACAATTTGTCCATTAATCCATGAAAATTTGCTACTGTAGTTCACACTGCACTCCCATTTAGGACCCTGTTGTTCAATTCACTCAGAACGAGCTTGTTTTCACTTTCAAGAGAATTACAGAGACTAGAGAGTAATTCAAACAACAAATTCAGCAGTAGCAGACATTAGCTGCATTAACTATATGAGTGCTGGATGGACACTGCCAAACCCAGCTGCAGAATCTTCCCAAACCTGCTAACAATCACTAAGTCAATGAAAACACTGAAGAAGTGTCTTGCCCTCATTTCAACAAAAAAGACAACAAAAGCCCTATAAACAAGGAGTTTCTATGGTGCACAGCCTGAGACCATTAATGCCTTTCACTTCCAAGAGAAGGAACTGATTCTTTAGGCAAGGGAACACCAAGGATCAAATTCTGCTCTAGATGTACATCAGAGCTCACATTAATGGAAGCATACCTTTGAGAAGGCCTTCCAAATTGCCACTTGCACAGCACGGTTGACTTCTATGAGCTTTTATCTATCATAACATACTGCGTTTTTGTAGTCTCATTTGAGCTGTAAGTCACCGGAAATCTTCCAGCGAGATGCAAATGTTCTTTTCAAAATGTCCATACATAGTTTGCTGAAGTGCACTTGTGTTCCTAACCACCCTCCAAAGATGTGCTTAGAAGCAATTCGCCGATTCCTGGGGTTTACAGGTTAAACACCAGTGGTATAGAAAATACAGCAGGTTTTCAGAAGTGACCAAGGTCAGAGTAATTCCCACTAATTTTAAGTCTGTTAGCTGATTTATCTTACCTTGGCAATTGCTCATCGCTCTCATTCATAGCTAATTCTAAATTATACTCCTGGACTTCATTCCTATATTTTGCAGCACCTGGAGAAATACCTTTATAAATACAATGGCAGATTTCTCTGTGTGGTAGGGGGTTAAATACAATAATATTCAGGCTTCTGTGTCTCTGGTTAATAAAACATAAAATTTCTCTCCTGTTGCCTCTCCTCGACCCTGTTTAAGTGATCTGGCAAGCTCTGAAAATGCACAACAAGGGCTTTATTATGTACACGCACTAGGTACAGCAGGTTTCACTGGACTGTAACTGATTTGTTTCAGATGAAGGGATGCTGTTAACCACCACTGTGAATATAATTGCTTAGTTGATTTCCACATTCTTGTCATTGTTGGCCTGGCTACTGCAAGAACAAGCTGGTGAGGAATTCCCTAATGCTGGTTAAAAAAAGAAAAAAAAAAGGAAGTCTTCAGGTCAAACCAGGAGTTCATCCAGACATGCCTGCACCAGAGGCAATACGAATACCCCCTTTCACCATTTCACTTCTTGTCCTTTGCTCCTTCTTCAGACCAGAATCAACTCCAGGAGAAGAAACCCTCCAGGTAAAGAGGGAAAGGGACCTTTGCAGATGGTCAAAATACCAAGGTGCCACCTCTGAGCAAGCTCCGTGATGCACAGTAGCTGATTCCTTTTGTCACACGTGGCAGGGGGCTCAGAAGGCTTTAGCAGACTTTCACTACAGGCTGTCACTCGCTGCCCATCCCTGCACAAAGCACGGCTCTGCTCCTGATGCATTGCCTCTGTAGCACAGCTTGTGCTATTAAGCTTGCAGGAAAGCCCCCAGATCCTAACTGGGATCAGAGCTGGGTTCTTCCACCACACCAAAGAAAAGCCACAGTTAATTCATCACACGGGGACTTGCCAGGCCCGGATTCGGTTCCCTCCCCTCCCACAGGCTCAGAGCAGAGGGTTCCCACCTTGGAGTCTGGTGGCACTTGCAGCCTCCAACAAAGAATGATGCCTGTCCGTGCCAGACACTATATATACACAGGGTACATATATTCTGGTCTAAAGCCTGTTGAGCAGTGTATCCCCAAGACTGGAAAAGTCTGGTAGTGTGTGGGGACTGGGGTATCCAGGTGACCTTAATGCCTCTCCACTGCCATTTCACACTATGTTTCTAATCCAGATTCTTTGGGGTCTTTTACTTGAGTGAGGAGAAAGGGTTTTTTCATTGTGTTCGGCACCGCAGGTCTGAATCTTCTCCTTATGATCATTTTATCTCTCTCTTGGAAAACTCCCCTGCACATCCTTCCTCCTCTGCCTTCATTCTTTTCCAAAAACCAGAAATTAAGGTCTCATGTTTTTAGAAAGGCTTTTGGACATGTTTTTTTTTTCTTCATTGGACATGTAACGTCAAGTGTACATGTAACTCTTTAGAGAATGGGAATCCTAGGCTTTCTTTCTTACTTTTAACTTACCTCCTTTGACATTATTACCTAAATCTAGATGTACTGTATTATACATTTCTTAGAAAAACTCATTTGAAAATAAGGAAG